GCCATGCTGGCTGGGGAATTCTGGGAGTTGAAGTCCACACATCTGGAAGTTGCTAAGGTTGAGAAACAGTGTCATGGAGACTTGGTGGCTAAAATTGCCGCTCTGTCCCCCATGCCTGTAGGAAAATCTTTCTCAATTCTCTATGAACCTCCCCCTCCCCACCAACAGGGGCCACCAGGCGTATCTCCGGAGCGCCCCTGATTACGACTTTCTCCGATATCGCCAGCTGGTGCACGAGATCACGCTGGCATTCAGTGGCATTTCCCAGGAGATCTTGCAGATCAAGGAGAAGCTGGAGGGGGCCCACGGCCGGAGAGACCTGGCTGAGCACCTGGGACGCATCCAGGAGAAGGAGCAGGAGAAACTGGAGCTGGTGAGCAGGAAGGAGCTGCCTTGACATTTGAGCCCACCCAGCAGAGTTAAATCATTTTTAAGACCCATTTTCTTGATCCCGCTTCTTGGAACAGAACTCAAGGGCTCTGCTCTGAAAACAATGGAGAAATCCCTACTTAGAAATCTAATCTTTGTAAGGTAGGGTTGGTGGTTAGGTGGAGATTTATTTTGATTTCAACCTGAAATCTCTATGCTCTTCATTCCAGTACCTCAAACTCTATGATTCGTATCGCAACATGTTCATTAAAATATAGCAGTATCAGAGGCTAACTGAGATGCCGTTGCTTGGCTGAGCTCAAAAAGCTTAACAGGATCAGGCCTGGTTAGGTCCTGGATGGGAGACCACTAGGAGATCTGAGGCCAATAGGTAATGGCAAACCGATTTTATGGCACTGCCAATAAAACTACATGGATGTTTTCCATGAACTCATCAGGAGCTGAGCTCCACTCAACAGAGACTTCACCTTTTTCCTCCCATTCTCTTTTAGAGTATTTTTCTTATTGTTGTTCTGCAAACCTTGGGTGTTTCCTGGAGCCGATAGGCACTCCCAGACCGAGCTTGGAAAATTGAGAAAAATAACATAACAAGGCAGGAGATTTTAAACTTCCTTAATAGTGTTTTTAGGGGCAGGTTTTAAATTTGCACGGGGCATCTGCAGAATCTTCATTGTACCATTATTCCTTTGTTCCTGTGAAGGGGACTTGGTTCCCAATGCCCCCAATTTTATGCTCTTTTAGAAAGGTTAAGCCAGACGTAGCTGATGGCAAAGGTGATGTGGAGAAAAGGATGTATTGAACATTACAGGGGATCTGCTCAGTTCTAGATTAATACTTTAACCCTAAGCTGATATCCTCCAGATGTGGGGAACTTCAGCTCCCCCAGTTCCTAGCCCAGCACACCTGGAGGACATCAGGTTGAGGAAGTTGGCTATCGTCAGCTGTCTTCACACACACCATGCTTAGCCAGATTAAAGAGACTTAGTTTCTCTACTTGTGCAACACAGTAAGTTTGCTTTTAAGTCTTGGTGTGTTGTCCAAACCTAGTTTATTTGATTAGTTCAGTGCTTCTCAACCTTGACAACTCTAAGATGTGTGGACTTCAATTCCCAGAATTCCCCAGCCAGCCATGCTGGCTGGGG